AATAGTCATTTATTATTGTCAAATATGTACTGTACATAATTACATGTACTATACTTTTTTTTTTTTTTGAGACGGAGTCTCACTCTTGTCCAGGCTGGAGTGCAGTGGCACGATCTCGGCACACTGCAACCTCTGTTTCCTGGGTTCAAGTGATTTTCCTGGCTCAGTCTCCAGAGTAGCTGGGACTACAGGCACGCGCCACCACGCCCAGCTAATCTTTGTATTTTTAGTAAAGATGGGGTTTCACCTTGTTGGCCAGGATAGTCTCGATCTCTTGACCTCGTGATCCGCCAACCTCGTTCTCCCAAAGTGCTGGGATTACAGGCCCGGCCAGAAGGGTACAATGTTTTAAAAGAAAGAAACAATCTTATGGCCAGGCACAAAAACGCTTGGAGTCCAAAGGACAGCACCAAATGTGACTTCCCTTTTGCTCTCCCGCAGACAATGGTTTGCACAGAAGCCCACCCAGGTGGGAGGCACCAGGAGCTGGGCCGCACTGGGTGTCGCCCTCCACTCCCCGTCCTTGCTCTCATCCAGCTTCTCCTCCCTGCGTCACCGCCTCCTCGGTCATTTCCACTCCTCCATCTGTGCGAAAGCGCAGTGATGCCTCCAGGTCATGGGTAGAATCCCCAAATGGGTTTGGTGAAGCTGGGCACACAGGGTGTGCCCGAATCCTGCTGGAGCCCAGGAAAAGCAGCCGCACCCTGTGACCGCATGTGGCCCAGGAATCAGCGAGCAGAGCGTCTGTTCTTGTCTCAGCTGTCAGTGAGAGGTTCACAGGTGCCTGGTGTCCTTGGAGCCCTGGAGGGCTGGGGAAGTCGTGAAGTACTTCAGCAGAGAGGGGCGGAGAGGCTGCTGGCCAGAGACGTGAACATGAAGCGGGCAGGTGGCTGAAAGACAGGGCTCCTCTGGGAACTGACAGCTGAAACCAAACAAAATGACAGACACCTCCAGACGCCCCTGTAGAGAGGTGACTCTCACCAAGGCCAAGAACCCTCTCCGCCTCACACACGTGGCGCCAGGAGGGCCACCAAGAGTCTGACTTGACTCCGGACCAAGAGGGTGTTTAAATTGCCAGAGGAGAATTTGAATATTAATATGCTGAGTTTTCACTACTTGATGGAAAAATCCAGAAAATAAAAGTGACATTCAGCAATAAAAGAAATAAAATGGTCACTTTTCACCCATGAAATTGGTCTGGGGATTTTTATCTGCTCTGCCCACAAAGCCTCTCCTTGTGCCTTTGCGCTTTTGCGCTCTCTCTCTCTCTCTCTTTCTCTCTTTCTCCCCCTACCAAGAGCCCACTCTACCAAAGCAGAAGGGACATACAGACAGTAGGATGAGATGCCTAAAAGATCATCCTGCCAGGCCAGGTGTGGTGGCTCACACCTGTAATTCCAGCACTTTGGGAGGCTAAGGGGGCGGATCATGAGGTCAGGAGTTCAAGACCAGCCTGACCAACATGGTGAAACCCCATCTCTACTAAACAACAACAGAAACAAATTAGCTGGGCATGGTGACGTGTGCCTGTAGTCCCAGCTACTCAGGAGCCTGAGGCAGAAGAGTCACTTGAACCAGGAGGCGAAGGTTGCAGTGAGCTGAGATCACACCACTGCACTCCAGCCTGCGTGACAGAGCAAGACTCCGTTTCGGAAAAGAAAAAAATCATCCTGCCAAATTTGAGCGATGGAAAGAATATTTCTATGATCGTTATTGCATGTATGCTTTGGTATCGTATTCAAAAGCTTATCTCGGCTGCAATAATTAACGTAACATCGTTAGGGAGCAAACCCTCCTCTTCCTTTCTTTACTCACGGAATAGTGGAATAAAAATGTCTGTGGATAAACTCATTGTTTTGCCAATGATAAGAAAGCATTTTCTTTAGAAAAGTTAGAATCCTCCATTTTCCATTCCTGCTAATTATTTGAATTTAACTCTTGGAGGTGCTTTCTAAATTAAAGTCTACCAGGATACACTGAAGGAGAATTTGACAAAAAATATCATTAGTTAATCTAATTCCAAAGAGCAGAACTTTCTAGGAGAAATTAATGGTGAAAGGAATATTCTATCAAAACACTTTTTATTTTAAAATGCTGAAGTCAAAAAACTGATCGTGTCCTAAAATGAAATAAAGAATCATCGGCAGCTTTACTGACTGCGTTTCCTTAAGTTTTATTATTGTTGTGAAAAACTGTTTTACATATGTTATCAGAATTTGAGAGAAAATATTGATTTACTATCTTGACTTACTCAAGCTAAAAATATATTACTGAAACTATTTTAATCAAATGTTTGCAAGTTATATATTGCTTAAATTTTCACGTTTTAGTAAATATTGATCTTAACAAAAGCATTTTATTGCTTGAAAGTTGAGAGATACTTTTAGTATCTTTTCTTAAAGACAATTAAATACAACAAGCTTTGTTGAAAGAAAACAATGGCAAAATTCAATTAACTATAAATACATCCAACCTCCTGAAATGAATATTATGAAGACTAACACCGTAAGAAACAAGCATCACACCTGCAATCCCAGCACTGGGAAGCCGAGGCGGGTGGATCACGAGGTCAAGAGATCGAGACCATCCTGGTCAACATGGTGAAACTCCGTCTCTACTAAAAATACAAAAATTAGCTGGGCATGGTGGCGCGTGCCTGTAATCCCAGCTACTCAGGAGGCTGAGGCAGGAGAATTGCCTGAACCCAGGAGGCGGAGGTTGCGGTGAGACGAGTTTGCGCCATTGCACTCCAGCCTGGGTAACAAGAGTGAAACTCCGTCTCAAAAAAAAAAAAAGAAAAGAAAAGAAACAAGCATTGCACAATGATTATTATTCCAGTCCAAATTATGACTAGAATTGTGTACAATATCCTAGTCAAAACAAATTTCTTATTTGTTCCCAATTCCGGATAGAAACCATAAAGTAAATTACAAACAGGAGCTACGTTTATTTTGCCTGTAACGTCTGGCAAACAGTCGCCTTGTGGTCACTGTGGCTGATCAATCTAATGAGATGTCAGAACCCGTGACCCACAGGCCAGTCAGGTGAATCGCAACTACGAAGTTCGGCCCTTTTTCCAAGGCAGAGATACGCTGATTTTAAGGTGTTTATTGTTTTAGCTTTCCATGATATAAGATGATCATCAGAGGTCATATCCTTCTCTCTTTCGAATCTATGGTTCTGTGGTGCCTACAAATTGTAAATGACAGACGAAGCTTTCACAGATTTGCTCTGAATTATTGGGTATACAATCCAAGCCCATGTGGAACTTTCCCTTATAGAACTCCTCAGGGCTGAGTGCTCCCCACATATCTGCCAGCATGATTGAACTGAGATTGTACAGGGAAGTGAGAGCCTAGAAATATAATGGATGGACTTCAGCCACCACCTACCTGATATGAGCACAATCCAGAGAGCACCAGAGCCAGTAAGTCAGGCTGATTAATGGAAGTGAGCAGCTCAGAGTCAGTGGCAGTTCAAAGACAACAAATCTCACAGTGTAGCCAAGTTCTAGGCCGCTCTTTTGAAGAAGATGGGAGGCAAATATTCGGCACAGTGACAACTGTGAGAAATAAAACTGTCCCAGACAAGTGTGTGTAATCTACACGCAAGGACAGAAAACATCCCAGACTACTAACAGAAACGAGGAAAAACACCAAATCAGAACATGGGACACTGCGACTTCTCATTTTAGAAAAAGACAATGTAGTTACTTGAAGTAAAAACATTTTCTAATTTTCAATGTGTTGTTTTAAAACACACTGAAGACAAATGTAAGAATTTAACAAAATCACGTCAGTTAATCTGATTCCAAAGAGCTGAACTTTCTTGGAGAAATTAATAATCAAAGGAATATTCCATCAAAGATATTTCTAATTTTAAAATGCTGAGGTCCAAAGACAGATTATGTCCTAAAATGGAATGAGCTATACCTCTTTTAATCTTGAGACTGGAAAAGTTTTTCAGAGATGAGAATTCTTTCTGAAAAATTACCGTGTCTAATCTTCAAACACACACATGCACATTGCTCACTGCTCTTCTGTTGATCTGGGCTTCTCCAAATGCTGCGGTGATTATAATAATCCATCTGCGGAAAGAGGATCTTCAATTTCATTACATTCTGAACAGGGGTTCATAGATTTCACTTGGCTTCCTAAACACTGAAATTGGGAGATCCAAACTTTCGGTGGAAGTGATTTGAAGGGTAGAGCGCAGTCCTCAGTACTAGCTGAAACACAGTAAGGCTGTGCACAAGGCCAGAAGCCCAGGGATACTGCAAAGCAGGAAGACTGCAAGTGCTGACCACCACGCCCGTGGCCCTCTCCCTCTCTTCCTAGACAATGATGTAACGCCCGTGGCCCTCTCCCTCTCTTCCTAGACAATGATGTATCATGTGGTTATTGGAAGTCATAGATGGGAGGTTGGTAGGGTCTCCTCTCAGACACAGAGAATAAAGAGCAAAAATAAAGCCACTCATTCTCTTTGAAAATCTTTTTTTCTTTCTCTCTTAAGAGCCAGAACAGCTGGAAAATATTTAAGCAGGACTCAGTCAGCCCTGAAATATCTTTTCTGTGTCCTAGGGAAGTTTTATAGAGCAGATGTATGAAAACAGCACTAGATTGCAGAGTATAGAATCCTAGAATATCCGGCAAACTTTACACAGATGATAAAAATGGCCACTACCTATGGAGTGCTTCTTATCTACCAGGAACTGTAAGTACACTGTATCATTTAATCCTCAACCCTTGGAGATAGGATCCCTGTCTTACAGATAAAGAAGTAAAGTGAGTTTCCTACTTTCCCGAGATTACACAGCTGGCGAGAGGTGGGGCCTACATTTAGGATCACAGCAGCTGATTTCAAAGAATATGTGAAAAGATGCCTATGGGTTGGGGGAGCCATGCTCGGGTCAGAAACCTCTCCAACCTAAAGCACTTGGAACTAACATTTTAAAATCAAGCCAGAGAAAGATTAGTCCTGTGCTTATTTTTTTACATTTTAATTTAACTTTAATTTTGTGTTGTCAGTTTCTTTTTCCTTTTTTGGAGATGGAGTCTTGCTCTGTCGCCAGGCTGGAGTGCGGTGGCACGATCTCAGCTCACTGCATCCTCTGTCTCCCGGTTCTAGCGATTCCCGTGCCTCAGCCTCGTTGTGTTGTCATTATTTCTGTACTCTCCTTCACCTTTAAAACAATCGACAGAGCCCTAGGCAAAAAAGAAGGTAAGAAAGCTCATCTGTTGCTGGCCTGACTGAGGTCCAGATCCGAGGGCTGCAGGGAGCATTCTAACACGACAGAAGCAGGTGCCTTCAGACCCAGGGATGCCAACACACCCTCCAGGACGGCATGATCACTGCAACCAGCAGACTGCAGGCTATTCAGTGAGCAAGGGTCGGGGTTTCTGACCAAAGCAATTTACATTTGAATTACCCATTTTGGACAAAATGAATACAAATAGAGGGAAGAAGGGAACACGATACAAGGTTAATAACCTCAACTTGAGATGTCCCCAAAAGGTAGGCTGAGCAGATAGAATGAGGTGACAGTAGGGAGGGTAGGGCTGGTGGCTACACCTCAGGAACTCTTGGTTTAGAATCAGATTTCACTAATTGAAAGCAATAAAATGAGGCAGTAAAACAAACGCTTCGGGAAGAAAGGAGGAACTGGTATTGGGTAAAGCTCAAAATCCTAGTGATGCCAAGATATTGAGTTACTGAGGTCAGGAAAAAAGTACTCATGAATAGGGTAACTGAACACCACAACGTTGTAGCTTTTTTTTCCCCTGAGAGTATCTGAACTACAGTTTATCATTTGTAAAATCTCCTATCTACCAGGGGAAATGAAACAGGAGAGTTCCCTGACCCCCTGTGCAGGACGTGTGACAGGGTCATGGCTCATATGCTCTGCCACTGCACACTCAAGCCCCTTATGGGAGGGGGAGCACACAGGCAGGCAGGTGCAGGAGCCAGGGGGCATGTGTTCTGGGCTCCAGCCCCATGGTAGCGTCTAAGGGTGGGTGCCCGCAACTCCCAAAGCCCAGGTGGATGTGTGTTACAGTGCACTCTTTTAGTTTTGCTGGCTGCAGACAGCTTAAGTGTTAACCAGCTCAATGCCCTCTTGGTATCCAGGTCCTTGTCCAGAATCCAGGAACAATCAGGCTGTACACGGACTGGAAGGATGAATGTGGGGGTTTTACTGAGTGGTGGAGGTGGCTCTCAGTGGGATGGGTGGAAAGCTGGAAGGGAGATGGAGTGGGAAGATGACCTTCCCCTTGAGTTTGGCCATCCAGCAGCCCATCTCCTCTCCAACCATCCCCAGCCAAACTTCTCTCAATGTTCAAATGTTCCGTCTGTTCTCTCTGCCACGCCACTCTGCTGTTCTCTTTGTCATTTCCTCATCCGCTTTTGGAGCCTGGGGTCTGGGGTTTATATGGTATGAGACAGTGGGGCATGGCAGGTGAAAAGGCAACTTTTGGGCAGGAAAACAGGAGTGCCCGTTCCCACTTAGGTCCGTGGGTTTCCAGGCTTGAAGGCGGGGCCTTTGCCAGGGCACCATCATCTTCTACCCAGTATTTCCTTGTCTCCTGTCTGTATCAGAAATATAAATTTTAGTTCTGTATTAATTCAGTGGGGGAAAAGGCATTAGTTAAATCTTCCAACCTTATAGTTTATTGTTAACATTAATTTCACTACTAAAATAAATGATTAATATCACTACCCTTAAACTTGATACAGTTTAATTTTTTTTTTTTTTTTTTTTTGAGATGGAATCTTGCTCTGTCCCCCAGGCTGGAGTGCAGTGGCGTGATCTTGGCTCACTGCAACCTCCACCTCCTGGATTCAAGCAATTCTCCTGCCTCAGCCTCCTGAGTAGCTGGGACTACAGGTGCACATGGCCTCTGCCTGACTAATTGTTTGTGTTTTAGTAGAGATGGGATTTCCCTGTGTTGCCCAGGCTGGTCTCCAACTTTTGAGCTCAAGCAATCCACCTACCTCAGCCTCCCAAAGTACTGATATTTAATATGATATCTCACAAAGTACTAAATTTTAATATGATATCTCTGCACTCACACAATTACAAGTAATAAATATACTAATTTTTTTAAAAAGGAAACTATTATATAAAATTTTCTTAAAACTATTCCTGATTAAAATTTTGGTTAAATGGGGTAGTGTAAGCACAAATGTTATCTGCTCACCCTTAAGAAAATCAACTAAGAGGAGAGCAAATTAATTTAAACCTGCATGAGCCCACTGGGGCAAAAAGAGCAGGAGAAGTAATATTAGATTAAAAATTTAACATTTCTTTGAAATTTAACAGACTGGTGGGCATTAATATAGTAGAATAAAGGAAGCTGCAATGTAAGAAGAAAAGAAATGTGATTCACTCAGAGAATCTCAGAAAGTTTCATACCTTGGAGTCAGCAAATAAGCAACCATGGTGGGTTGGGTGAGACAAGTGAAGTGATAACACGCATTGTAGTTCACGGAACACATGGCTGTCCCTGTGGCCCCAGAAGCCTGCATTCAGACGTTATCGCCAAGGAGGAGATTCTGCTTTAGACACTGGAGTCAGGTGACGTCGGACTGAAAAGGACCACTCTGTCAAGAAGACCACTGGCCAGTACGCCCACTCCCATCCAGACCCCCAGTCATTTCCCAGTACGTCACACCTAGTCATCAATGGAGGCATTTGAGACGGTTTTCATATGAGCGGAACAAAATCCATCTGACAGATTAAACGGAACACGGAAGAAGGGAGAGAATGCAGAAACAGAAAAAGTTCCATTTCAGAACGCTCTTGCTCATATCTTGGAAGATGCAAGACCTACAGCAAGAAAAAGGTAGCAAGGAGAAGCCGCTGTTTCGTAATGCATATGGATGGTGAAATTATAAACAGCTAAGGCAGATGACACTAAGGCAGAGACGTGTTTGACTCCTGAGAGTATCGGGGTGGGGGCATGGGGAAGAGTGTGGTGATGGGGAGGGACTCCTGCAAGGCTGCTAGGTTTGGGTAAGACTTTATTTCTTCACCTGTGTGGTTGCTGCATATTATATGGCTTTATAACTACTTGCTAAATATGCATTAATTTTTGCACATCTTTCTATAGTCATGCTGTATGTCACACACACACACACAATGAAAAAGGGCAAAAATGGAGAAATTGAAAGGGCTCTTGGAAAATACAACTCTGACAATACCTCACCCCGCTTCCAAAAAAAGAAAAGACTGAAAGTGGAAGATGGAAAGTAGGCGTGAGAAATGAGGGAGCATATCTGCAGACGATATAAAGAAAACATTCTCCCAGAATCACCCAGAGAACTCAAGATAGAAAGGAAAAGTCTACTTTTGTGGGTTTTTATTTTTTGAGACAGTCTCACTCTGTCGCCAGGTGCCAGGCTGAAGCTCAGTGGTGCGATCTCAGCTCACTGCAACTTCCACCTCCCGGGCTCAAGCAATTCTTTTGCCTTTGCCTTCTGAGTAGCTGGGACTACAGGCTTGTGCCACCGTGCCCAGCTAATTTTTGTATTTTAGTAGAGACAGGGTTTTACTATGTTGGCCAGGACGGTCTCGATCTCTTGACCTTGTGATCTGCCGGCCTCGGCCTCCCAAAGTGCTGGGATTACAGGCCTGAGCTGGAAAAGTCTACTTTTATGGAAAACAGCAGTGAGGTGAAATGCCAAACCACAAAACAGAGAAGGCACCTGCCAGCCCAGGGCTGACTGAGCAGGGCTGTGTGTGGGAAGGAGCAGAGCACTGACCCTCAGGCTGCAGACACCAGAAAGGCCAGCAAGTGTTTTCCAACAGGAGGGGCCCACCCTAGAGGGCTCACCACTGCAGCACAGGAGGCACGGGCTGGCTACTCTCCCTGGGTCCTCGGTCACAGTCTAGAAACAGAGGTGAAGTTAGATGTGGGCCACCAAACCCAACACAGCCAGGTGGCAGGCTGGGGCGGCACAATGGCCGCTGGAGACCAGACTCGATTCTGCAGCTCTCCATTGTCCTAGCCAAGGCCCTGGCACTCCATGAAATGCTTCCCTCTATGTACAAGAAAGAGATGGTAAAACATAGAAAAGAAGAATCAAAATTAATTATAAACACCTTAAAGTAATGGAAAATAAGCAGAGTTACACCAGCCGAAAAGGGACGTCCCATCAAGAAAGTGCATCAGAAACTGTAAGATGCGGCCATTGAGAAGCTAACCAAATATTGTATCACTATTAACAACAACACGCCAGGTGCGGTGGCTCACAACTGTAATCGCCGCACTTTGGGAGGGCGACGTGGCTGGATCATTTGAGACCAGAAGTTGGAGATCAGCCTGGCCGACGTGGTGAAACCCCATCTCTACCAAAAATACTAAACTTAGCCAGGCTGTGGTGGTGCATGCCCGTAATCTCAGCTACTTGGGAGGCTGAGGGTGGAGAATCGCTTGGGCCCAGGAAGCAGAGGTTGTGGTGAGCTGAGACGCGTCATTGCACTCTAGTCTGGGTGACAGAGTTAGACAGACCCTGTTTCAAACACCAACAAAAGAATCCAACATAATGAACGAATCAGAGGCAAATGGCCAACCGCCAGACCACAGGTAGCTATGAGGGGCCAGTTGTCCTCTGCCATCCTGCTAAGGACCACAGACACGTGAGCAAGCCTGGGAGAGAGGAGCTGGAGGCAGCCCAGACTATGGGAACTCTTCAGCAGATCCTTAGGTTAATAAACCATTGCTGTTTTAAGTGACTAAATTTGGGGACAATTTCTTAATCAGCAGAAGCTATCAGACACGCTTGGAAACTACAGATTGGAGCTAGATGTGGAATGTGTCCCTCATCACCTGTGTTCCATTGCCCTTGGAACAGGGGGGCTGTGAATTAATATGTGGCTTGTAGCTTTGTGCCTAAACAGTATAAAAAATTGTTGGGAAATCAAGGCAGTGGCTTCTGAGTCTTCAGGTGTCCCACAAGCACCCCAACTCTTGATTGTGGCAGCCACCCAGGCCCTGGAGAGCTGAGAGGAGAAAGGGAGCTGTGGGCAGCCCAGAGCACCAGCTGTGCCTCCAGGCCTGTGCCCGGCTCTAAAGCCCAGTAAATGTGCCATCAGATTAAAGCTGTCCATGTTTTCCGAGTCGGAGGGCCAGCTTGAATCTGTCATCAGTGTGCAGCCGTGTTCAATACTGGAAGAGCTGAGACCCATGAAATTTTGCACCAAGAAAGTGCAACCCAGAGATTTTATACCAACTCTTCTTTCATTCAAGTATAGAAGCAGCACAAACTGAGTTTTGAATGTTTAAGGGTTAGGGAACACTGTTTACACGGAGCTGCTTGAAAACCCTACCGGGCGTCAAACGTCAGTGAACCACATGTTGATGGAGTACGAGAAGCCGCAGCCAGGGCCGGCTGATGAGCAGTCAGAGGACTCAGCGAGAGAGGCAAGAACAGGACCAGAGTGTCAGCACTACACACCTCGAACCATCGCTGCGACCTGACCACCACGGAGTGTTTTGTGTGGCGTCACTGATTTTCCTCCCTTTAGTACACTGGGCAGGAAGAGCACAGAAGTAAGAGAAAGGAGCAGAAAAGAAAAAAGTAAGCGTGATTTACAAAGAAGATACAGCAGTGACGGATTCTGGAGATTACACTGCAGAGCTTCGAAGTTCTTAGAGCAGAAAGCACGGCATGCAGACGGAAAGTCACAGGGGCCCGGCAGGGAAAACCGCACCTCCTCAGGCTGTGGCTGCTGAAGACAGCAAAAAGGAGGCACCATGTCAAAATGAAACTCACGTGGTTTTCTCTAACTGATAGATAACACACTCGGCGCCTTAAAAATATAGAGCGCTCTTTTTATTTTCAGATTCTGCAGAGCATGAAAAAGACTATTTTAGACCATAAAACTTCAGTGATTTCTAAAAAGCATTTTTTAACTCTTTGATTAAAATGCAATGAAATCAAATAGACAATAAAACATCGTTTTTGAAAGTTTTCTTTTATCATTAAGGGCCGAGGAGAAAAGCGTCGAAGAATATTTTTAGAAGAACTGACCAGAGATGGAAATATCTGTCTGATCCACTCACATCTGCACTAGAGCCCTAAATAATCATATGAACAGAAACAAGAAAAACTTGAAAATATCAACAAAATACAGACAAAATTATAAAAAACAAAAGAGCATTAATAGCAGCAGTATTGTTAAATTCAAGAGCTGCATCTTTGGGGAAGAATCCAACAAGTAAATTACCTTATTCAAGAAATACACCAGAATATAGATAAGTACATAAAGCAAGGAATAACTGAAGATCAGTCACAGATACAGCCCCCTGCAATGGACCACTAAGACTGCCTAATTTCATGCAGGAACCAACAGAGGCTTTGTCTAATCTCCGGGCTGTGGGGTGTGAACCTGAGAGAGGGAGGAGTCCCTTCTCCTGGACCAGACAGTCTAGGGGAATCTGTGGGTCGAACGCTCCATTCACACGTTCCTATCTCACGACTCAGAGCCCTTGTTTCCGTGCTCTCACTTTGTGTAGGACCCCTTTTAGGGCTGAGAATTTAGCCTATAGTGAGTTAAATCATGGTCTCCAAAAAAATGCATCTGTGTCCTGGTCTCCCAAAGCTGTGCCTGTGACCTTATTTGGGAAAATGTTCTTTGCAGATATAATGAAATTAAGGATCTCAAGACGAGATCATCCTGGGTTATCCGGGTGGACCCAACCTTCAATGACACACTGAGGAAAGAGACACAGGTATCCAGGATCACCTCCCCCTTGACTTCCACACTGCATTTCAGTAGAAGGAAAGGCTGGCCAGCGGGAGCCTCCTAAATCGCCTTCCTATACATAGCAGGTGCAGTTTGGGGGAATCTTTCCAGAAGGCATTGTTTTTACTTAAGATCAAACCCCGGCCCCACGCCTACTCCATGGACCAAGACCCTTTCACGTGTCATATCTAGAGTGCGAGCCTGTACAAAGGCAGGGCTTCTCTTCCTTAGAGGAGTTTGGCTGATGGAGAACTATGCTGCCTCGCTCCCGGCCAAAATCAATCACCTCCACCTCCCTAGTTCGGCGTCCAGAGGTCTGTTTCTCGAGGCTGCTCCTGCTTCAACACAAAAGAGAAGACACACAGAGAGGACGGCCATGTGACGACCCAGGCAGAGACAAGCGCTGCAGTCAAGAGTGCAGAGAAGAGAAGACAAGGGTCGTTCCAAGCACACGTACCCAGTTTCTTATTCTCGCCAATTCTCTGTATTGCCCTCCACCAAGGCAGAACAAGAGTATCAGGTATTGCTGTCCCTCGGGACCACGGCCTCCACTGACCACAAAACGAAGCCTTCGTGGCTTCACTCTCAGCCCACACTCGATCAGGTGGATGCAAGGCAAGAAGAGACACGGAAAGATAAAGTGAAAAGGGGCCTCTTAGTCTCCAATCCCAGGGAGCTGAAATCATGGCTGAACGGAGGCCGCTAGGGAGGTCGTTCCAGGAACCTCGAATTGAGACCTTATTCGGAAAAAGGGCCATCAAAGATATAATTAAGCTCTGAGGTGGGGTCATCTTGGATTATCTGGGTGGACCTCAAATCCTTCCAGGACACACGGGAGAGAGTGATGTGGCCACTTTTAATGTGGAGACTTATTTTCATTCAGGTATGGCGCGGCTGTGAAAGGGACATGAAAGTCTCAGGACCCTGAACTCGCTATGCCGAGGGAAAAAGTGAAGCTTAGTAGCCCAGTCAGGCAAA